AGCATCTAACCATGGATTTTTGGTGCCATTTCTGCAATAGCAGAGTTAAAGGAGCATGGAGAAAAAGGAAGAGGATAAAGGAAAAATAGAAGAGAGGGGAAGAGTACACCCAGAGGGGACTCCAGTTGCTGCATTGGGTTCCTGTGTGTGTCTCTGTACACACAGACACTCCTACTCCAGTCAGGAATAATTTACGTTTATGCAGGCTGATTTTTGAGATTGCTGGCAAAGACTGTTAGAAACCTAGGTAGGGGACTGGGCTGGGAAGCCTTCATTGTGTGCATTGTGTGTGTGCAAGTGTATAAAAGGTGCAGGGGAGGGGTGTGCATGTGAAACGTAAAGGCTGGGAGCTGGGTGTTCATTGCACCCATTTCCTCATCCCAGTGTCTCTATTTTTAGAGATAGTTTTAAAATTAGAAGCTGTGTCACTGAGGGTAAAGAACAGCAGAAATTTTCCCTAGCAAGGTCAAAAACCTTTAGAATTCAGTGGTAACAGGCCAAAATACAGCTGTTAACCATATCCAGTTTAGAAAGCTCCAGAAAAGGTATTGTTTTTCACACAAATACTACTAACTAATTTGTTAACTAATTTAGGTACTTTGCAGGTAATCGACTTAGTATAATATTTTACTAAAACATTCCCTTATGCCATGATCTTTAGCCTATCTAACCTGTTTGAAACTCAATTCCATTTTCCAGACCTTTTACTCTATCTATTGCTTTGTTTCCTTCCCTGTTTCCTTTGAGGATCATTTTTTATTAATATCTGCTGAGATTTTTTCTTGCCCATCATTCTGGAAAAAAAATTGGTACTGGTTAGCTTGATCAAGTATGGCAGATAAATTTTCATGTTTAAGCTCTATTAATTAAAAATTGATTTCATATTTGAGGTAGATAAACCTTCTAGCTGCTATTTTCTCAGCAAATCTTTTTTTAAAATTGTACTTCTATGAGATGTAATACACCCTTTATAACAGAAGTACTTATTTAATGTCACGTTCTGTGCCTCAGCTATAGCTGAAAAGTTAAATTGGAATCAAACACATGTAAGTTTATATAAGAATAAATATAAATTTGTAAAGAGCATATGTTTACATATTCAGAAGACTCTTTTCTAGCCTGTTAACCAGTAAATGGTTAGGTCTTTAAAAAAATCATTTAATTCATTCTGCTTCAGAAAAATGAAAGCTGTTTTCTAACACTGCATTTGTACTGACACCTAAATATTATTAACTTCCTAAGTATTATATAAAAGATAGAAATTGGTGACATTGGAAAAAACTCCATGAGCACTTGAAAACTGAAAGAGTAATAATTTTAACTGAAATAATTTTATTGTTGTTCAGGGGCTTTCAGATCCAAGTATATATTTTCTTTAGTTACTAGGTTTTTAGATTCAAATTATTGAGTTATTTGGATTGGTTCTACACTTCTTTAGTTGGAAACTTATTAATGAGGGACAGATGGACGTTAGCGAAGCCTCTGCAAAGACGGTCGAATACAAGCTTGATGAAAGCTGCCTTTGCCTCTCAAGTGAAAGGTGACGTGTATCAAAGTTCTCCTGTTATCATGTAAGCATTATACACCCATAGGACTAATTGGAAAGTAATTGAGGACCAGGAAGAATTAGAGAAGGAATAAAGGCAATTTTCTGTTAATTTGCTTATTAGTTACGTATTGCTTTTCCTTTGAGGTGACCCAAATGATTGTTAAAGACTTCTCTCATTAATTTTTACTGTGCTGTGGGAGATGGGGAATGGGAAAATAGGTCATTTTCTTTTTTTTTTTTTTTTAAGTTTTTGGGTTTTTTTATTGATACATAATAATTGTACATATTTATGGAGTACACAGTGATGTTGCAATACATATAGTATATAGCGGGTCAGGGTAATTAGCATATCATCATTTCGAATATTTATCATTTCTTTGTAGTAAGCATCTTCTTAACTTCCTCTTCTTTGTCCATCTTGTCCTCCACTCTGACTCAGGTATATTTACATGTCAAACTCTAGACCTTGTCATCATCACTAAACCCTCCCCTTCCATAATCTCAATCATAGGCATCCATATCTTGAACAACCACCTTCTATCGTTCCAGCCACTCCCTCACTCACAGCCTCAACAATCCTCCAAGCTGATTGGCACCAACAAGTCATTAATTACACTGTCCCTGACCCCTCTCTTGTCTCTTTTTCACTCAGCTTAAATTCCAAGGTCAGTCATGATTATATGATCACTTCCTAGCTATACCCTCAGCTCACTTGGCCCCCTCTCCTTTTGTCACTTTTGTTTGGTAAACCATGGTTATATCCAACTCTCTACGGTAGAACATGGCTGGAGAAAAGCAAATGACCTTGTTCATTGTTGTTGCTTAAGGTCCAAGACCACTGGGTTCAAGTTGGCCCTTTCATACTGTCAGATGATCATGCTGTTTTTTCTGATTCCTTCTTTTTTTTCCTCTCACCTCACACATTCAGGTCCTCCTCCCTGATCCTGACTTTCACCAATGACCTTGCTTTGTATTTTACTGAGAAAGTGGAAGAAATGAAAAACGAATTTCCATGTGATCTCGCCATCATATCTCTGTTCCTACCTGTACCTGAAGCCATATATGTGGCCCCCACTCATTACTACTGATGCATTGTTTGTTCCTGTTTGAGAGCAATTCTTCCATGTGTGCCGTAGATTCTACCCACCTCATCTACTATACCATTCCAGGCAGCACATAAACGTGCCTTAATTTTGCTCTTCTTAAAAATCCCTGTCTTTACTGCACTTCCCCCTCTACCACCCCATTTCTTTATTCTTTGGTTCAGCAAAATGTATCAAAAAGAATTGTCTATTTCCAATTCCTGTCTTTGGTCAGGACCTTGCTTCCATAAGGCCACGGGACAACATTCACATTGTGCTCTAGGCGAAGTGACTCAAAATATAATATAAATGATGTGCCTTGAAGTCTCTTAAACCAACTTTAATCAGGCACTGCCGTTACTACTCTGCTCTTTTCAAGGTCCCCAGCATCTTTCATGTGAGTAATCTGGGGTTTCTTAGTGCTCATCTTTCTTGACCTATGGGTAGTACTTGACATAATTGACTACTCTCACCTCTTTGAAACACTGTCACCTCTTGGCTTCGAGGACACCACACTCCCCTCACTTTTCTCCTCTTTTGCTAGTTTCTTCTCACCTTTCTAACCTCTAAACCTTGGTGTTCCCAGTGTTCAGTTCTCAGACCTTGTCTCTTCTCAATCTACACACATTTCTGTGGTGATCTTATCTAGTCTCATTGCTTTAAAAACCAACCAGCTGATAACTCCCAAATCTGGCTCATATTTATTCCCCAAACTCCAGCCTAATATATTTAACTGCCTGCCTGATGTGGCCTCTTAAATTTTAGTAGGCCTATCAAAATCAGCATCTTTGAAACCAAGCACTTGTTCTTTTGTGCTAAACCTGATTCTTCTGAAGTCGTCTGTTTTTCAGTAAATGATAACTCTATTCTCTCATCCGTTGCTCGGCATAAAACAAAAACAAACACACTTTAGAGTCATACATGATTCCTCCCTTTCTCTTGCACCCCATATCTAATCTGTTAGCAAGTCCTCCTGATTCTACCTATTTCTCCCTGTCACTATTACTTTCCTGGTTACTGCCCACCATCATCTCTTAGTTGTCTCCTTGCCTCTGCTTTTGTCTGTGAACCCCCTTACCCTCACTCTGTAGTCTTTTCTCAACACAGCAGCCAAAAAGAACCTTTAAAAATATGTCAGAGTATGCCACCTCTGTATTCAAAACCTTCCCAAGGCTTCCTGACTCAGTGTAAAAGTCAAAGTCCATATAATGTTCATAAGAGCTTACCTGATTGGGCCAGACTCCCCTCACTCTCTGATCTTGTCTCTTCTATCCTTTCCCTCCTTGCCCTGCTCCAGCCCTACTGATCTCTTTGCTGTTCCTCTAACACCCTGGACCTGCTCCTCCTGCCCTAGGACATGTGCGTTTCCCTGGGTCTGGAATTCTCTTTTCACTAGCATCCACATGGCCCACTCTTTGCCTTCTTCCACTGTAGGTCTTTGCTGTGATGCTCTCTTTTTTCTCAGTGAGTCCTTCCCTGACTTTGTCTAATTTAGAACATTCTCCTGAGCATTCTCAAAGCTCTTTTTCTGCATTATTTTTCACCATAGTATTTAATGAACATCTGACATATGCTATACACACACACACACACACACGCACACTTGTTGATTTATTGTCTTTTTCTTTCCTGTGAGAATGTAAATGCATGAAGACAGGGAAGGATGTTACTTGTCTTCTTTAAACTGTTAAGAATGGTGCCTAGCTTATAACAGGCATTTAACAAATATTTGTTAAAAAATGAATATAGAATCACTCTTATACTCATTTTCTTTTTTAGTTTTTTTTGTTTGTTTTTGTTTTTTTATTTCAGGGTATTATGAGAGTACAAACATTTTGGTTACATTTTATGTCTTTGCCTCACTCAAGCAGGGATTAGAAGTGTGCCCTTCCCCTCTACGATGCTCACCGTGTCCTTTAGTTGTGAGTTTACCACCCCCCCAATCCCTCTAATCCCTGGAGAATATTACTACCGTGTGAGCACCATAGTGTTAATCAGTTAGTGCCAATCTGATGGTGAGTGCAAGTGGAGCCCATTCTTCTGATCTTGTGATACCTCACTTCGGATAATGGGCTCAAGTTCAATCCATGAAAATATAAGAGGTGCTAGATCACTGTCGTTTCTTATAATTCAGTAATATTCCGTGGTATACATATACCAAATTTTAATAATCCACTCATGAATTGACGGGTACTTGGGTTGTTTCCACATCCTTGCAATAGTGAATCGTGCTGCCATAAACATTCGGGTGCAGATGTCTTTACTATAGAATATCTTTTGCTCTTTTGGGTAGATGATTAATAGTGCTATTGCTGGGTTGAATGGTATTTCTGTTTTTAGCTCTTTGAGGTATTTCCAAATTCTTTTCCATAGAGGCTGCACTAATTTGCAGTCCCACCGGCAGTGTAAGAGTGTTCCTGCCTCTCCACATCCTCACCAGCATTTGTTGTTTTGGGATTTTTTGATAGAGGCCAATCTCCCTGGGGTTAGGTGATATCTCATTGTGGTTTTGATTTGCATTTCTCTAATGATTAGAGATGTTGAGCATTTTTTTATATGTTTGCTGGCCATTATTCTGTCTTCTTTTGAAAAGTTTCTGTTCATTTCCTTTGCCCATTTATTGATGGGATTGTTTGATTTTTTTTCTTGTTGATTTTTTTAAGTTCTAGATAGATTCTTGTTATGAGCCCTTTATCGGATGTGTAGAGAGCAGATATTTTCTCTCATTCTGTAGGCTGTCTGTTCGCTCTAATGATAGTTTCCTTGGCTGTGCAAAAGCTTATACTCATTTTAAAAGCTGATATTAGACTAATTTATATAATACCACAGGAAATATGATTTTTGAGGCAAATTTAGTGTGACTTGATCCAAACAACAATTGTTTTTCTAACAAAATAGTTTTCTCACATAATGCTTTTAGAAATTCATATTTTAGGAATCTGTACTCTTGGTTTATGACTTTGTGTTATGTAAATGGGTGATCTCTCTTTGATAGGTTTGCACACTTATCTGCTTTTTCCACCCATCTCTGTAGACATGAATGCTACAGTTCGAAGGATTGACCAGTTAACCAACATCTTGGCCCCCATGGTTGTTGGCCAGATTATGACGTTTGGCTCCGCAGTTATTGGCTGTGGTTTCATTTCGGGATGGAATCTGGTATCCATGTGTGTGGAGTACTTTCTGCTCTGGAAGGTTTACCAGAAAACTCCTGCTCTAGCTGTGAAAGCTGCTCTTAAAGTAGAGGAAACTGAATTGAAACAGCTGAATTTACACAAAGGTAAACTGAACACAATGATCAGTCCTTTTATTCTGATGTTAAGACCTTAAATGTTGGTGAAGATCAAACTGTTTTGAATTAATATCAGGTTTTATTACCAGTGAAGGCCTGGATGAGATTAAATATATCACTTTGGTAGATGAGGCAAAACCAGGCTTTTGGGGGTCCAGGGAACAACTCTGGGTTGCACCTAATGGGGTTGCAACAGGGCCCCTGGCCCTTTTCCTTGATGTGAGCAGTAGGCACAGAGGGACAATTAGTTGAGAAATGGCTGGGCAAAGTTGAGTCACAGGAGTGGGAAGAACAGTGGGAAAAAAGAGAACAGGAGAATCCCTTGGAATAGATAAAGAGCGAGTTGCATGGCCATTTGTAGGACAGTGGAGGGGAGTGAGGAATGAAGATGGGCATGTCTCAGGAGCAGAAGAAGTTGGGCTTCTGGGTAAATGGAATCTTAACAGGGCCCCAGAAATAAGATGCTATGTTTTCCCAGAAACTTTTTATATTTTATCTGATGAGTTTTCCTGCTATTTATTTCGGTGAGAGTATAATTTTTAAGAGAAAGAAAAAAAAAAGAGAGATAAATAGTATTTTTTTAAATTTCTGAATATTATGGGGGTACAAATGTTTTGATTACATCAATTGCTTTTGTACTGCTTGAGTCAAAGTTATAAGTGTATTTTATTTAATAAAAATGGTACTTGGAGATTGTTCCTTGGCTGGAATTCTTGGATTATTACTAAAAGAAAATACATATTATAAAGTAGTAACCAAGGAGTAAAGTAGTAACCACGGGGAAGGGAAATAGGAAAAGAAAAAGTACTGAGTAGGATAATCAGCTTTTATCCCTCATGTCCCCCCCCCCATAATGGTATCTTTTATTAACAGATACTGAGCCAAATCCTCTTGAAGGAACTCATCTAATGGGTGAGAAAGACTCTAATGTCCATGAGCTTGAACATGAGCAAGAGCCCACCTGTGCCTCCCAGATGGCTGAGCCCTTCCGCACCTTCCGAGATGGATGGATCTCCTACTACAACCAGCCAGTGTTCCTGGCTGGCATGGGTCTTGCTTTCCTTTATATGACTGTCCTTGGCTTCGACTGCATCACTACAGGGTACGCCTACACTCAGGGGCTGAGTGGTTCCATTCTCAGCATTTTGATGGGAGCATCAGCTGTAACTGGAATAATGGGAACTGTGGCTTTTACCTGGCTACGTCGAAAATGTGGTCTGGTTCGGACTGGTCTGATCTCAGGATTGGCACAGCTTTCCTGTTTGACCTTGTGTGTGATCTCTGTGTTCATGCCGGGAAGCCCCTTGGACTTGTCTGTTTCTCCTTTTGAAGATATCCGTTCAAGGTTCATTCCAGCAGAGTCAATTACACCTACCAAAATACCTGAAACCGCCATTATAACTGAAATATACATGTCAAACGGGTCTGATCCTGCTAATACCATTCTGGAGACCAGTCCTAAGCCTGTGCCCATAATCTCCGTCAGTCTGCTGTTTGCAGGCGTCATTGCTGCTAGAGTTGGTAAGAAATCTCTTTTTGTATATTAATGAACTACAGTATCTTTTTGGAATATGGGTGCAAAGAATCCATCAATAAATGGTCTGAAATATTCCCTGAATGTTAATTTAAGCAAAATTCATGACTTATTTTTATATATATAATCTGGTCTTTAATTATGAAATTTTTATTTTATAGCTTAAAATATATTTGTATATGTATATATGCATGTGTATGTACATATACTTACAACATATTTTAAGCTTGAAAATTGTTTTTGAAGTATTTTAAGTGTTACTCTTTTAATGTAATTTAATTTTTAAAAGATATTAGTTACAGTAATTATACTGCCATCAAGGCATTTAGAATCTTTATAATAACTCTAACCAAAAGAACTATAATTTAGAGAATATTTCCATGGGACAACATAAAAAAAAAAAAAGTAGTATTTTTTTTTTTTTTTAAAGACATGGCAGTTCGAAAAAAAAATCCTTCAAGAGTCCTCTCTAGCTGATATGTATTTATTACATACTTTGCCACACAAATGGATTTTATAGCTCTGTAAGGAAACATAATGTAAAGACTTCTTACAAAGCAAAATTTAAGTAATCATTAATAGAGTACCAATGAATTATCTCTGACCGAATTCGTTTTTGAAATGAAACCATATTTATCTTGTGCTACAAAGCAGCTCATTAATTTATTGAAGGCATTAATATTCAAGCAAGACAGCTTTATTGTAGGGGCTTTAGAACTCAAACAGTAAATGTAACAATGGTTTAAAGTTTCCTTATACTTTAGCCATAACCATATATTGGGTCATAAACTTTAAAAATACCAGTACTTACACTGTAATAGGATTTATGATGTCTCTGATTTGAAAGTTTTGCTTTTGTAGTATGAATAATCACAGAAAAACAGACCTAATAAGTTTGTAGATTGGACTTACTTTTGCCTAGTGACTATAAAAGTTATTTCTTGAATCCGCTAATAACCCAATACTTATTAATGAAAAATAATTCTCTAAGGCAAGGCTATGATAAATATATATTAGGTGACTTAAAGATAGTGGGGCTAAATGTGTATTTTGCATATGTCAACAAACTTATCTGTAAATCTGAAATATATGGCTGTAAACTAAAATCTGATCCTTTCAAAAATCTTTTATTTATAGGTCTTTGGTCCTTTGATTTAACTGTGACACAGTTGCTACAAGAAAATGTAATTGAATCTGAAAGAGGCATTATAAATGGTGTACAGAATTCCATGAACTATCTTCTTGATCTTCTGCACTTCATCATGGTCATCCTGGCTCCAAATCCTGAAGCTTTTGGCTTGCTCGTATTGATTTCAGTCTCCTTTGTGGCAATGGGCCACAGTATGTATTTCCGATTCGCCCAAAAAACTCTGGGGAACCAACTCTTTGTTTGTTGTCCTGATACAAAAGAAGTTAGGAATGAAAATCAAGCTAATACATCTGATGTTTAAGACAGTTTTAACTGTTGCTATCCCTGTTACTAGATTATATAGAGAGAGCACATGTGCTTATTTCATACTGCAGAATTCCAATAAATGGCTGGGTTTTTCTCTCTGTTTTTACCACAGCTGTGCCTTGAGGACTAAAAGCTATTTAGGAAACCTAAGTCAGCAGAAATGAAATGGTTAATTTCCCTTATGTTTAGACATGGAAAAAAATAGGAAAAGAAAAACTCAGTTATGAAGATTTTGATAACACTGAACACCCCCTATTTCTCATGAGTAGATAAAATTTGCATAAAAGAGTGGTTAGTCATGTGCATTAAGTTGTTCTTTGGCAGATACTTAATTATCTGTACTAGAATTCAGATATGTCAGTTTTCCTTAAAACTCATGTCTGTTCAAGTCTGGCTAATTTACTTTTTTTTGTATCTTATTGTCAGTTATAGTATAAAAACAAATTCTTCTCCAAGTGTGAAGATTAAAGTTTGATAACCAGTATTATCCTTATTGATCTTTTTGATCTTAAGGGACTTACATGTTTCTGGAAAAACAAAATATTTAACTAGAATTCTCTAATAAGGTTCCTGGTTTAACTTTAAAGAGCACCTTTGTATTTTTATTATCAGATAGGGCAACATATTGTATTCAGCATATGTAGCACTGCATAAAATGGCTATCATGTAAGCTACAGGTAGAAGCAAAGCTGTAAAGTAGATTTATAACACAGTGAATGCATAAGGACTTCAAATATGTCAGTAGTTTGGCCATAGAAACCAGAAGCCAAAAGCCACACAGAAAGACAAAGGCCTAATTTAACTCATGCTACTGTCATTAATGAGCTCTATTGTAGAATATGAGGGAGTAAGCCTTCAGTCTGACGAGTTACATGTAGAAAGGAAGCCCACACTTGTAAAGGTTTTGTTTTAGAAATCATTTGATTTACTTTTAACACACTCAGGTAGAACATTTTGACTTTCACTGTTTTATACCCAGGAGTTACTTCTACATTGTTCTAGAGCAAGAACATTCATAAAAGTATCCCTTTCAAATGTCTTTGAGTAGAGGAGAAAATGGTATATATTTTTAGAAACTGTTTTACAAGTCAGTTTGCAGTATGTCAGTACCAACGTGGTACTTTGCCTTAACCGTTGATGCACTTTCATGGAGACTGCAATACATTGCTATGAGTGCTTTCTTTATTCTTGAGGTTTAATCTTGTTCTTCATCTTTCTACAGTATGACAATGATTTGCTATGTTGTAAAATCTTTGTAAAATATTTCTATATAAAAACATTTTTAAAATCTTAATTTTTTTCTGAATTGTGTTTCCTAATTATGTAATATTGCTTTTGTTACAGAACATCTGTTTTGGATAATGTGTTTTTCTCTATAAAGGGCTACAGTTTCATAATTCATATTTTTTAGTGTTATCTCCCTATTCATATTTCTGGTTTATTGTGGCCTGGATGAAAGTGTGGTAAACATGAGGCCCAGCACTCATTCTTTGACTTTGAACATATCACAGTAAACTCTCAAGTTCTATTTTCCCTTCTGTAAATTGAAAAGACTACTAAACCAATCCTACCTCCCTTGCAACTGTCCCGATTGCATCAAGTAAGAGAAGCCTTGTGGAAGCACTTTGTGGACTTTAAGATGAGGTAGTATTACTATTGGAGGTTGGACCGAAGTAATGAGGGGGAGTCAAGGATAGATGCCTGCTGATACTCCAGGGAGAGTAGAGCCACATTCAATAGTAAGCAAACATTTATCAAAGACTTGATCTATGCCCCAAGACTGATCAGTCTTGGGGATGCAGAGTTGATTGAGACACAGTTGATCAGTCTCCTTTCCTTTTCCCTAAAATTGGGAGCCTGAGAACTTTTGGCATCACCCTGTAGCTACTGATCTGCTCATGACATTTGTACAGACTAGAGGTTTGGCTGCTGTCTTGAACAGGCTCTCTGCTCCCTCCCACGGGGGTTGAGCTGGGTTTGGAGATCTGCCCTGAGCATTTGCAGCTGTTACTGAAGGCCTATGACCTTGTGAAATGAATAGAACCATATTAGCAAGGGGAAGGCTTCAGGTCTTAATATGGGCATTTTGCCAGCGTAGGGCCCTAGAGAGAGAGAGGCCCTTTGAGGAGGAAGGAGCATGGAGTTGGAAAGTTAATAGGAATTTTTACAGCTGCTGCCCTTATCTTTGTGTACGACTGCTCAGACCAGGAAGTGGAGGAAAATCATTGCCGGTCTGGACAGCCTTTGCTGTTTACTGTCTCAGGACATAGAAGTAGGACAGGGGATAGATGTGATGTGTATGGCAATATCTGGGTGTGTTTCTAAATGGCGGTCATACTCAATACCTACAGGGTCACTTGAGTTACATAAATGAGTGAAGTGGATTAGAAAAAGGAAAATATTCTTTCATTTAATATGTAATTGCATTTTATGAAAGTTCCACTTATTTTGTTCCATCTTGAAAACAAATTCATTACATTTTTTTCATGCTTTTCTCTTTTGCACACAGGCTCTTATTGAGGTTAAGTTGATTCTTTCAGCACAGACACGCTTTGCACAGTAAACACAAAGTCATCTTCGTTTCCACAAAGAAATATGCCTACTGCCCCCGTTTTTGAAACACCTGACTTGCTTTTCTTTTTCATTGTTCCCCACCCCTTTAAAAAAAAATAAGAGTATAACCAGACAAGTTACTTTCCTGTTTCCTGTAAGACAAAAACAGAGCAAGAGGCATGCTAAATGGCACAGGGCACTGGACATCGTACTGGGGAGGTGATGGGGTGTGATCTGGGCTCTGGAGAGCTGCAGAGCATGCTCAGCTGTGAGCAATCTCAGTTGCCATGAAGACTGTGGGCCCTGTGTTGTCAGATCTTCTGATCTTTCAAGAGAAGCTGGGCATCTGGAATTTTTTATGAAATCTCCAAATTCTTGAATACTGGTAACTCATTTGAAAATGCTAAAAATATTTTGCTAGCCAACAAAATACAACTGTGGGCTACTTATGAGTCATCCATGGGCTGCCATATTTAAGCTTTTCTCTAAGGGGATGGTTTGTGAGCAAGAGAATGGTATTTAAATAGAGCTAGTAAGTGTAGGAAATGAGGAAACACACGTACAAGAACTGCAATGTAAGGAGAAGAAGAAAGAGCTGGGCGAACATTTGTGGCAAAAAATGTTAATATTAAGCTATTAGGCATCTTTTATTGGAGATTACTTAAAGTCAAATAATCTACGCATTTATTACCACCATGTGGATGTGAATTAGAATTCTGCCACATTGTTCCTTTATTCCATGTGTTGTTTGCACTGTTGGGTTATAGGAAAATGATAATTAAAAAAGAAAAAACTTTTAAAGTTTGTCTGAATTTAAAGACAGTGCACTCCTGTTTTTAAAAAAGAAAAGACACAGAATTTTAAAGAGTAATTGTCGCCTCTTCCCATCCTACTGTCCTTGAATCCTCAAAGTACAGTTTAGGGTTTATTCTTATAATTTTAATGAAGTTAAAAAAACCTTTTATATCATTTTGTTTATTCACCAAGATTATCTCCCTATCAGTTGACTATATGAATTTTTTTCCAAAATTCTAAGGGAGGTTAAAATAAAAGTCATGTTTGCATTAAGACTGGTAAGAGTAATTAAAAACTTTAAAGATATAGAACAGAGGGAAGTATGTATACAAATTAGTCTATATATTTATTGTGATTAACAAATTTAGTCCAAGATTCCTTTCAGCCAAGACAAAAGATCACTGAGTTTTACCTTAATTCTCCAAATGATACGTACTTCAGACTCTATAACTTCAGTTAAACGTTGCTCCTTTTTAATGTCTTCTTTCTTCCTCGTGATCTACATTTCAGAATAATCTTTGCTATCAGAACATTTTTATTTTACAAGACAGCAATTCAAAAATCGAGTTGAAACATTAGAAGAACCTTGTGATAACACATCATACTTAGCCCAAGTCTGAACTGGATTCGTTTAGTCATACTTTAAAAGTTAAACAACATTTTTCCTTATATGGAGACTTGTTTACATTTTCCAAGTGCAAAAGGGAGCAAGTATTTTATCTAAAGAATGGACAAATGGGAGATCAAAGTACAAGTGCTTTTTTCCACGTTATTCACCCTGGCTTCTATGTGACTTAGCACATATTTATTTGAATGTTTTCCTTATTGCATTTTTACTGGGAGAAAAGTGCACTGCAAAGTTCCTGAAGTGAACAATTTTGAAATATGTTCAAAATTGTTTTAGATGGTTGTTGTCCTTAACTAATGTATACAGCTGTAGTGATAATACAAAAGGTAAGCAAATAGATACACATTTCATAGTAACTAAAACACTTCAAGAGAAACCTATGTTTTCAAGAACTAATTTTTGAAGACCTTACAATAAATGATCTCTAATAAGCAGGATATGGTCACACATTGTTAACTCATACCTAAGATAATATTTGAGCTTAATGTATATATAATCAAGAAAGAATTTTCCAATGACAGATTTAATTTTTTATTTAGAACTATATATTGACCAAATATTAATACGTATCTTCTTACCTATTAGATCTAAGATATTTAGGTAAAAGACATTACAGTGGAAAGGAACTAACATTTGAACATACATTATTTGTCAGCACTTTATTCATTTAATTCTCACTATAACTCCACGAAAAAGACATTATCTGTGTTTCACAGATGAGGAAATAGCCTTTGAATAAATGTCATGTAATTACACAGCTAGTAAGTGACAGAACAGAATCGAAAACCATTTCTGTCTTTCTCCAAAGGCTGTCTTCTTTCCTTCATACCACACAACCCTTGTATGAGCTTCTAATGAGAAGTGCCAGAAAGTCCTTACTATCCTAACGCATGTATTTATTTACGGCAAATGATGATTCCTAAAGTGGAATCATCGGCAGACCAAAGACAAATCTCTGGCATGAAAAAAGCAGATGAAAGCATCTGCTCTCATAAGCCGTAGCACAAAAGGCTGCAGCATAGATGTAAGCCACCTTTCCTGGAGTAGCTTGGATTGACAGGTATAGAGAACCAGTGAGGGAAGTGGGCAAAAGGATTATGTACAAAACAGTTGTTCCAAGGCCGGGTGCGGTGGCTCACACCTGTAATCCTACTACTCTGGGAGGCCAAGACGGGGGGATCACTTAACCTCAGAAGTTTGAGACCAGCCTCCTGTATTTTCTCTACAAAAAACCAGAAAAATTATCCCAATGTCACGGTGGTGTAAGCCTGTAGTCCCAGCTACTTGGGAGCCCTATAGTCCCAGCTACTTCAGGCAGGAGGATGGCTTGAGCCCCAGAGTTGTGGGCTGCAGTGAGCTGTGATGACGCCACTGCAGTCCACCTGGGGCAACTGAGCGAGACAGTCTCAGAAAAAATAATAAAAATAAAAATAAAGATAAAAAAGCTGTTCCTGTCCACCCACACAGAGCATGTGTGCAGTGAAACTGACATGGTGACATTTGCAAATGGATGGCTAAACAAAGAGAACAGTGTGGTCTGGAAGGGCTCAGACTCCCAGTGAAAGGATGCACCCCCACCAAAGCAAAGCCCTCTTGTTCTGATCTTGGGAGTGGAACCTTGATGATTTCTGTGCTCTCTTCCCACGTGTCTTAAGGCTACCTGTTGACGTGACTTGCCCACTTGTACATAAATTCTCCCAGTTACAGTGATACCTGCTAAAAACAACCTACTTAACAGCAGAGGAAATCCAAATGAGCTACTTGAATTCATCAACCTAGTCTTTCTTTCATAGGTATGACCAGATAACCAGTGACGGTCAGATATCTGGGGAAAACCAACAGCACCAGATAGTAGGACTAAGATGAATAAAGAAAATAACGGATCAAAGAAAACAGGTGACTTAGGGAAAACAATCAAATTTTAAAAATTCTAGTTAATATCTTCAGAGATGGATGAAGGAATGGTATCTATAAAGTACAAGGTTTTCTGCAAAAACAGACAAGGAGGAGATTATTGGAAATTAAAAATACGATTGCCCCTCCTTTCCAAATTCAATAAAAGGCTGGGCTTAAAAGCAGAGCAAAAAGACAAAGGGAACTATGAGAGAAAAAGGAGACTTTAGAGATTAATCTAGGATGGCAAATATATTTCTATTGAGAAATGAAGTATTATTAAAAGGTAGCAGAAAAACAGAGGACCTGAATTAGGGGTGGGTGGCATAGGAAGAGAAGCTGGACTACATTAACGATATAGTGAAAGGTTCATATGCTTTTTGTCTAATGAGGAAAAAGAGGCAAGAAGAAACTTCAGGAAAAAA